GCGTAGAATAATTTACATCGGGAATGTTCACAAGCGGTGCAAAGTCAGATACCAGGTAGGGTCCCTGTGTGATAGAGTGGGGGGGCCTCATCGAACGTAGTCTTCGGTCTAGGAATTATTTAGAGAGGGGATCAGAGTTGTCTACGCATCAGCGACGAAAAGAACGCGCGTAGAACTTTGATAAACATTCGAGAGGACCTTGAATTTGTTTACGCGTCTCGACGTACTGCGTATCCTCGCGAAAGGACAAAGCGAAGTCCTGAATTACGCGTTTAAATACTGAAATACTAGTAAAATTCTTTATCCAAATTTCGGTATCAACTGCAGAAATATCTCGAGCGTCCAGAATCTGGAACAACTCTTTTATCGAAGCCGATACGAAGCATCGATCGTTTGAAAATTTTAGCGATCGTCCACTCACATTTCTTGGTGAGTGACTCTAAATCCCAGTATCTACTTCTTGCGTGTATTTAGTTGTATTAAATATTTTATACATTCGAATAGCACATCAACGATTAGTATATAAGATCCTAGGTGTCCCAGTAAAAATTATCACCTGGATTATTTTCTAAAATTGAGGACTAGTCTCGTTTGAAACATCCGTGATCTATTTTGTAAAGCCGTGGTTAACTTTGACGGGTAAACTGTCTAATGCGGAATTACGAAACGTCGAAGGGCTCGTATAAAATAGGATATCTTGCGGGACGTAGTTCGTTACAGGGCGCTTTGATCGTGCACGTAGAGCCGTGGCAAACATTCGTCGGTCCCCTGATGAAATTTTTCTTCCACCGTCGGACCAAACCGCCGTGAAATAAGCGAGTCGATACCTAACTTGCACCTGTTGCACGTGTGTTCCTGGCATCGCGACCGAGTCTCCAGATACTTTGCATTCGCGTAGCGCCTCCATTCTTATCCCGGGTTTCCGCCCCGCGATGATTGCTTTCAGCCCCGGTTCCTCGTCCTTGTCGCGTGTTCTTTTCCTTGGCAATTTGCGAGTTCGTCACCTACGAGACCAGCTCCGCGTGACCTGAAACTTTCCCCGGGTACTCGTTTTATCCGCGACGTCGGTGATCCGTTTGACCGACTTCCGTGCACTTTCAGTGCGTTGATTGCGCGGCTAATTATAGGGCCGGAATAAATTAGCGATTTTTACGCGAAAAATACGAGGGGGAGCACCGCGTTCCAGTCTCGTTCCGCTAAATTCCCGCGGCGTGTAAATAAACTGGGAACTTTACCCCAGGGTTGATGGAACTGTTTCAAACGAGGCCGCGAATTAATCCCAACAACAATGTATTTTTCGATCCCTCGATAACGCTGATTTAATTTAAGAGTTACTTCGAACGTTGCGCCTAGTAACCTAAAAGGATACATTTGTTTCAGAGTTCATAAACAGTACGACGATCTACTTAATCTCCATCCCCCGTAGACAGTTCAAGAAACACTAGAAACATGTATAGTTGAAGTTTACCGACTTTACTGGCGTGTGCGAAGCAAATTCATTCCGATCGGATGCGCTCTTACATGTGTGCCCCTCGTTGCATTCGAGCACGAGTTGATAGAAAAAGAACGGCGAGAAAGGTGGTGTGTGTCGTGTAATAAAAGGGAAAAGAAGAATGCGTGTGTGGCTCTGTTCGATGCACGAGGTTAGGGCACTCGTGTAAGACCACGTTCTCTCTCTCTCTCTCTATCTCAATAATACATCAAACATCGTGTTCACCGTAGAACTTAAGTGTTAATCGCGAGAAGAGCGCATAAAACTACCCGTTTCCAGCACTCGGTGTGTTCGAAGTACAGTAATGCTCGTTTACGAGTGACAGAATCGCCTTCCCTCTCGTCGCTGTGCACGTTTACGCGTTCTGTGCAACCATATTGGCCTCTGTTTTATCACCTGAAAGCGAGAACTACTGTAACTGCACTCCTCCGTGAACCTCGATCGAGTGGTCAATAGATTGCATACAAATACGTACCTAAATCGAATGTATTCCGCATAAATTGCATAAAATTCGCAGTCTACTGATCAGAATATCGCCGAATATTTTTTCTGCAGCGACTGGGGAGTCGTTCTATATGGACAAAGATGGACGTCGCCTGTTTCTCTTATTGCTTCCGGGTCGTTATTCCAAAGCGGCGAGTGACCTCGGCAAATTATATTCACCGGTTCTAAAAAAAGATTCGCGTACCAATTAATAGAACGGTAATTAGCAGCAGCTTTCCACGCGCTGATTAATCAACGATACCGCGTAGTCGCCGCGTTTATTTCCATGCATCGAAAGTGGAAAACGAAGCTCTCGAGGTTCGATCTCGAAATTGAATTCCGTGCTTTGATTCGAAGCAATCGCGTGAAAAATATCCACTTTAATTGCGCCGCGATAGAAACGCGAATATTCTTCCATCGTTAGTTTCTCGATAGACAGGGTGTTATTAGAATAATAAAGAATCGTATCTACGAGTCCATAAAAATGAAATAAAAAACGGCGAATAAGATCTCTTTGAGAGTATGATTAAAAACCCGGGGAAATGAAGTCCACAAACGGATCGCTAGCAACATTCTGCTTATCTCTTTTAATTACGCTCGGTTGCGCGCCAGCGAGCCGCGTCGTTTATTTACCGGTGTTTGCCGCGAACTTATGCATACACGCGCATTAATCGAAAATGCACGACCGAGTAAACACAGGAGGGACCAGTAAACACGCGGAACGCGTGAATCCGCGATGCAAATACGCGCGTCGAAAAATCGTGTCTTCGATCGTCACGATAACATCGTCGAACTAGTTTAAAGTAGTCTGAAAAGTGTCGTATATTACGCACCCCCCATCGTTCTCTCGAATCGAAAAATGCAGAGAGACCAAGGAGGAGGGCAGAGTTTCTTTACGAACACCGAATCACACGTACTCGTCCAACACCATTCGACACACAAGCCCCGTGAACTAATACATCACAAGGAATCAACATTGGTTCGCGTACCAAGCGAATAAATATACTATATGTACGGCGTGTGTGTCGCATGCTCTGTCTCTGTGTAAAACGCACCTACTCGTGCAGATACTCGATCGATGTGCAACCTGTGTTTGCGATATGTAGATGCATGCGTTCCCTGGTTCCCAGCATTCCTCATTTTCTGTGTATCTCGCGATCAGGGAAACTTGAGAAGAATTTGTTCCCACGGACAATAGTGGCGCTTCGGATGACAGGAACGTTGATAGTTTATCGCCGATATAATCGTTTTCGAGCATTCTGTTAGCGAACGCGTAAACTGTCGAGGTTTACCCGTCGAGTTAAGTCGCCAAAGCGACATCCGGATGTTCGCGGGGGCCTATGTGAATGCGAATTGCACGCTCACATATCTGTCGTCGGTGACGCGTGCTGGTCGATTGCTCTCATCAGCGAGCCCTTCATAATGTAACCCGTGTATTTAACAATGCAAATGCCTCATCGTACATCCATCGAACTCCCATCCTCTCACCCCAGATTATACGAGAGTGGCCGTGGACGGTTGACACGATCGGGCATCGGCTGGATTCTTCGCGTAAAAATAAATGGAAAATGTGAAATAAAATGTTTCGTGCCGGGCTTTGTATCGGGGGTATCGACGGCGATATGGTATTTGTCGGTTATTTTTTCCATCAAACCGACAATTTACATTCCGGTAACGACCAGAGATCGAAGATACATAAGTTTTCAAAATAACGAACAACAGAGAAACGCTTTTGTTCTGCAATTTCAATTTTTTTTTTTTTTTTGTTTTCTATGCAAAGAATCGTATGTTCCGTTGTATCAATCGTCCTCGTCCATGCTGTATATGTTTGCGCAAAGAGTCCTTGGCTGGAAAACCCTCCCTTTGATCGAGTTTCAAGTGCACACGCTGTTGATCCTAAACTGGTAATTATCGGAGAAGGTTAATTCTTGACCGAATCGTCGAAATTAGACAGATTATTGATTATAAATTTACGCGCGGCTAGGATTCCTGGCGTCGTTCCTCGACGTTCCCTCTTTAGCGGGAAATTGTGTTAATCAATGGTATCGAGAAACGGAGTTTGTCGTTTGATATGACGGGACATATCGGGACAAAAACGTGCACGTTGAACGACGCAGATCGCGTTCGAGTCGCCTGTCACCGGTTTAGGATTAATTGTCAATCGTGCATGGGCCGATAAATTTCAGACAGGCAGAGTCTGTGGACGCGGACTCGTTACGCTTTCTAGAATACTAATTGAAAATGACAATTGGATCGATAGACGCATCGGGCCGTGAAAACCTCCGTGAAACCACAGGGAAAATTCAACGCGTACAAAGCTAGTACCTGGAGGATTTTATTACGAAGCACTAATAGAAACTAATCATGTCGTTGATAGTTCCTTAGTGCTTTGAAATTGGATCGCGTGATCGGGATATCTGTCAGGCTGCGTGCAGTTCGATTTTGCAACGCGTGACTGTGATCAAGTATAAATATCAACATACGTAGACACATTAGTTTGCCAAATGATGCGCCAGACAGGGACTAAGCCGGAAATCCTTGGAGAATAAACGCTCGAATCTCGTTCGAATATAGTTCGACAAGTTTAATAAGATCCCCGGGGGTGGTGTACGAGTCGGTGATAGAATAGGAGACCAGACGATTAGATTATCGCTAGGGCCTATGACCTGTCTAGCAGACGTCATCAGATACTTTCCAGACGATGCAACGCTATAGCAAGATAACAGACTGTAGCGGAGGATCCCAGATTCCGTCTGTCGATCGTCGTCAGATTGCTTTCCCTTTTCTGTACCAGACACGCACACGAGACACCCTTCGCGACACACCGTGTTCCCTCGAGTCTTCACCTTGCACGATTTATGGGGTGCGTCGTCGTAATCCGTGTGGCTGCTAATCTATAGCCGTTTGAGATACCAAGCTGTCGCATGTGCACGCGTCTATGTCTGCTTCCATGCTTCCTGTTTCCTAGCGGAATCGACCCGACCGTAGATACGTGCCTGTCTTAATCAAACTTTGACCTTGGTAGCTCGATCTGGTACTGAACTCTGAGGAGGGCGGCGACTTGTCGGATTTCATCATGAACGGGGAATGGCACCTCATCGGTGAGTTTCATTCAACGCACGTTTATTCGCGATCCTTGCAAGTTATCGAGCTTGATGTTGAATCATCGAATTTTTGTGCATCGAGACGTACCAGCATTCTCTTAAAGAAATAAAGAGCGTACGAAGGAAAATGCATTGGAATATTTGCTTGCGTCAAAGCTGTTCCAGGCCAAATTAAGATTAAGAGAATTTTGCATAGAAGGGAACGCGAAAACGTTAACTGTAATGCTCTTCGAGTGCATCGTTCGTATTCTATCCGGCGTTTGTTCGCGAGAAGAACGCTAATATGCGTTAATCCCTGCTCGTTAACGAATCTCTTTGTATTTCGCTGAAAGAGACTACGCCGTAGAACAAGAAAAGGAATTACTAGCGGGAGAAATTCAGACAAGCACAGTTCCATATGTTCATGTTTGCGTTCGATGATTCGATAGAATTAGATAACAAAGCATACGAGTCGAGTTGTCGATTAAAATTAATATTTGTCAACATGGCAACTTGCAATCTTACGAAATTAAAAAAGAATACCATATTATGGAAGAGGATTAATTAGTTTCACACCGAAGAAGGAAATTTGAGGTAGGAGTATTAATATTCGTAACAATAAATGAACTCGAACGTCAAGACGGAACCGAGTTCGCATTATCCCGTAGAAACAATGGACGCTCGAATAGTAGGAGTTGAAAACAATAAAAAGTATTATCAAAGGATAAATGTTGTCAACAGAAAATAACGAAACAATCGGCATTGGTGAACAAGCGTCCTACAGGTGGTTTTATACGTTCCCCAATATCTCTTTGTACTTTCTAATATGTACTTCAGAATCAATTTACGCATTAGTTAAAGGCTCTTCGTTGGCATTCTCTAACGAGATTGCATTGTAAATCGGGCTCGACTTGGTTCTAATAGCATTGATGGATTATCGAAAATCCATTTTCCATTCAACGTCGATTTTAGTGCCTTAATAGACTGCCCGCCTCGATGTCAGTTTCAAGCAGTCACGCGTATCAATGCGGAGATATGACGTGAGTTACTTCGATAGCTCTCGACGTGTAATTCCAACCTAAACTGCTACACCTTTCCAAGTAGAATTCCTCCGTTCTCGCGGCAAAATATTCACGATAATATTCAGATCAACGTTGACATTCTGCCCTGATCGATTCAGAGTAAAACTGACACTTTTCGACTTCTTTCGGCGAGAGATTCTCAAGTAAACATTCTACGGTCACCCTTATTTTTCGATTTTAAAATATTTAAAAAAATCCAGAATTGTTGAATTCATGCTAATATTGAAATACTATAGCTTCCTTTGTGAATGTTCAATTTTGTTAGGTTAAAAAATTTTGTTAACAGTTAGTTTCTATCTGGATAAATTACAAGCTAGGATATAAAATATTTAAAAAATATTCAGAATCGTTGAATTCATGCTAATATTGAAATACTATAGCTTCCTTTGTGGGTGGTCAATTTTGTTAGGTTAAAAAATTTGGTTAACAATTAGTTTTTATCTGGATAAATTACAAGCTAGGATATAAAATATTTAAAAAAAATTCAGAATCGTTGAATTCATGAAAATATTGAAATACTATATAGCTTCCTTTGTGGGTGTTCAATTTTGTTAAAAAATTTGGTCAACAGTTAGTTTGTATCCGGATAAATTACAAGCTCGGATTCGGCATGAATTTGATAACATCTAACAGGATACGATTACTGTATTGTTTAACACAAAGCAGCGATTAATTCTCAACATCCATATAGCTTTGCGCTACACATCATCCTGGGATATCGATGCACGTTCCATACGTCGTTGATTGGCTTCGATGGCTCTATTAATCATATCCCGTGGAGTAACATGAAATTCATGGTGGTTCCAAACCAGTAACTTGTCGACGTAAAAAAACAAAAAAAGAATTACAAGAAAACTCAATATCCAATACTAGTATCATTAAATTAAAACTCAATTAATTACTAGCTATAAGTGTGTTGCATGAAGATGTTATTTCGCAACAGATGATTAATAGAGGCATTCACGCTTGCAACAGTGCATCCATGTCGGAAGAAAGTGTGTGGCATGTTGGAATTGATCGTTGTTTCGTGTTAAACAATCGTATCCTGCGGAATAACATCAATTTCACGCTAGGAACCAGCTTTCAATCCATCGAGAAACAGACAGGATTGAAAAAAATGATTTTTAAAATAAAGAAAAATCGACCATCGACAAATTAACGCCAGATTTACGAGCATCGATCGCGCGTGTTTTCTTGGCTCGATACTCTGAAAACTTTGTTCGAGAGATTCCAAGTAATTTAGGTGGCAATTGTTGTTGGCGAACCAGCCACGTAGAGTCTCAGTTTTCCAGGATAACGTACAGTTTTCGCGGTATTCATTTCGGCGTCGTCGACGCGTAAAGGAATGTTGATGGAAGTCGTTAAGAAGTCAGTTCCGGCGATCCTGCAAACACGAACACGAACACGCTCCTTCGTTCGAAAGATGTTCTTGCGCGAGATTCCCTCTCGGTGCATCCCATGAACTTTCCAATCGACCGCCGAATCCAGTTTCACACGGCTGTATCCTAGACACCATAGTCGCCTCTATAAACCCGTAAGACGGTCCTTTCTTTCCCCGACATCACTGCCTTTGACTCTTCTTTTTCGCTGTCAGCTCCGGAGTGTACCGTCTTTGCTCGAAACTGTTCGACTCGGCGGATGAAAACGCGCGTGAAGGAATCCAAAGTGTCAGGGACGCGAAATAGAGCTCCGGAGAATGTCGAGCGCGAGATTGCATTAATAAATTCAGATTTCTTTGTTCCTTCCATAAAAATCTTTTGAAAGAAAAATGTCCAAAGAACAAGACAATTAAAACGCGCAACGTTTGGTAAATTAGCGTAAAAATAGCTGACTTGAAGAGCTTTTCTGGAGCGGCAACAAGTGACCCAGACCCTGACACTTTCTTATCCGTATTATCGGACTCGATCGGCGACGATTCCGTTTGATCGAAAGTAATTAAAAAGGCTCCGTTCCCTTCGGCGCAATTATTAACGCGATCAGTAAGTATACGACTCCTAGCGACTTGGTCGATGCTTAATTTCTTTTGGAAGTAGCTCGAACATTTCGCGAATCGAACAGAAATGTTTAAAGAAAGGTGAATGTAAGTGTTCGCGAAATGTTGGAGAAGCATTCGGGCGAAATCAGCGAAGCGTGTAATTTGTGACGGAGGATGGACGAATAGTTGCAACGTTTAAAGGTATTTAATTACACGAAACGATTAATGTTAAGCGGGGTAAAGGGTGAACAGCGTTGGTATTTCTCGAGCAGAGTGCCGTTTAATCCCAACAAATTACACGCTCGGCCGATACACGCAACCCACTTACACCTGTCGGTGGGCGTCGTTGGACGAAAACCAGGACAAACTGTCCTTGAATTTCTCCAGCCGAGGTAGTCGTTCAGGTAACTATTAGTTCCCTTGGTATCGACAGTGCATATAATTAAGGTCGTTCGGGGGTTCGTTGCAGGAATGCCCGGGAAGAAGAACACGATAACGTACCAGTGTTGCCCGGAGCCGTACGTCGACATCACCTTCACGATACAAATTCGAAGGAGGACCCTGTATTATTTTTTCAACCTGATCGTGCCGTGCGTCCTGATATCGAGCATGGCCCTCCTGGGCTTCACGCTGCCGCCGGATTCCGGAGAGAAGCTCACCTTAGGTAACGTAACTCGTAGCATGCCTTGCCTGCCGATCACACCAGCCACACACGTATCTTTACGTTACATCTATATTTTTCTATCTTATTCTGTCTTCTTTCCGTTGGTTATTTCGACTCTACACACATACGTATCTGTGTCTATCTATCTGTCTATCTTTCTCTCTGTTTCTCTTTGTGCGTGATACACGTGATCTTGCGACTGTTTTACGAGAAGGGTCGAACGACGATCCACGGACCCAATTCTCGACATGTTTTTTTTCGTTATATTTTTCCACGGTTCGCGACGGGATCAGACGCTGTTTGGGAATTTGCAGTATTACTATAAACGCTCGAACAGATTGATGGGGAAAGAACGACGCCTCGAGTCCTCTTTCTTCGCTAGGCGTCACATCGGTTATCGTTCGAGCGGAATCCGCATGGTATTGAATTTCTTCTCCATTTCGTACTCGATTCGCAATTTTTCTCATCGAACCAGTCGAAATTATGGCCTTCCATATATCCAGAAATATATAGTAACATTTCTCGATCCGAATTTAAGGGGAAAGTAACACAGAGAATATTTCAATATTTTAATAGATACAGGTACCCGAGGAATGCAACGTGGAAAATGAAAAACGTTTTACCTCCGCGAATAATTCAAAGGGGATTACTCGGCTCGTAAGGATATGCAATATATTCTGGACGGTTCTCATTTGGCGGTGGTATTTCTCGAAAGCAGAGAAAGGAAAACGCGCGGGGGATGCATCGCGTAATCGCGAAAGCTCGTTGGAGCTTTGGTATTCTTCGCAGCGTTTCTAGGTTCCCTCCTAAACCAGCGATATCGATGGGAGGGCTGCCTCCTGGTTGTCTCAGGTTCGTGGCTGCGTCCCGTCTGGGGACGTCGCGTGATTTCAATTTTGGATAGGTTGCATCCCGCGGATTACAACCTTGGAAAATCTCCGCACGCCACGATCGTGCATTATGCATACCGGCGCGCCGAAATTCGCCACGATCGTTGTAACCTTCATGAGGCTCGAATACGTCTTTTGGGACGCGAGTCTGGCTGCCAGGACGCGGACAGGCGATTAATTATGCGCGATGACACGTTACGAGACCAGGAACCTGGGGATACGTCGGGAATATTCGAAATACCAGTCGTGATCTTTAAACTTTTTAGTTTTATTTAAATCGTTTGTCCTGTCGCAGTAGAACTCGGCTAATTAAATCCATTAATTGCTTCGCCAATCTTTATCTTCCGAAAATTACCCAATCACCGGGTTAACAAGCAAGGAACTTGGAAACATCGTGGCTAGCATAAGTCTCTTTCTAACGAGTCCTTGAAAAGTAATGCCCGTTGCCTTGGTAAGTTTTGGAAACTCGAAGGTAGATGCTGGTCTTCCGAGGTCAAGCCGAGAGTTAATTACACAAAGTCACTGTCCTAGTCCGACTCTCGTTCTCTTCCTCTACCGGTGAAACTTCTCTCGAGCGATTCGACCACTTTGTATGTATCTCTGCCACGGACGCTTCTGCTTTAACTCCTCGCCTTACCATTTAATTCGCGAACTCGTCCGATAGTCAAACACCGAATTTCTTAATTTGATCATGAAACGTTAACTCTTTGACTGCCGTAAAACTCGTAAGACAAATTTTAATTCTAAACCCAAAGTTCTGGTGTCGTAAATAATTTCACAGTTTTTGCCTGACAGTCGATACGATAATTTCTTGCACTCTTTGATATAAAATTATTCTTTTCCTGATGGATGAACAAGGCAACGGGTTAAATAAAGCGTTTTGGCCGCTAGGGACGAGAATCATTGACACATCCAGCGAGCGTTTTAACCCGCAGTTTTCGATGGAACGTGTAATCGAAAAGCGGAACGACGTCTTCGGGTGAAACGAGCTATAATGGGAACTGTCCTGTTAGAGACATCGACGTCGATCCTAAAGGACTCCGTCGATACACCGGAGGCCAGATTTCACCTTTCGCTATGTATTTCAAGAGCCGCGCGTGATTGGGCTCACTTATTCCGGCAGTCGAGCTCCATCATTCTTTAATGCCGGACGCTGAGATGTCTGATTCGTGGTTCGTTCAGACTCTAGATAAAATGCCTTTTCATTCGAGATAACCCATTTTCGGAACGTTCGTAATTTTGATGGATTTATGACCCCAAGACGTTTCCCCATTTATCGTATTTTAGACACGAAGAGTCTTACCGTGATTTCTTCGCCAATTGTGGACCACTTAGAGTCGGTCCGCAATTATTGGAAATGGTTCCAAGGAGATACAAGCTCTTTCCTATCGAATCCGACGAAATATCTGTTTTTATCCTACGAAAAGATCCTCGTAAATGGGGGGCAATTTGAATAAAACTAGAAATATTACGTTAATAACGCGGTCTGCAGTTTGACAAAAGGATCCTGTAATTTTTTTATCGAACGAACGATTGTTTCCATGGAAAATGGGGAGGAAACGGGGTAAGCCATGCTGCAAACACGGGTTTCTTATGACGGATCGATCCGAGAAACCGGTTTCGGGGCCAGAAAGTGCGGAAATTCAATTTCCATTCGGTGGCTCGCGGAAAAGGACAGGTTAGATCGATGTTTGGCAGGGATTCGGACTCCCGTGGACGTTGTTCCCGATGTACAATCGCTGCTATGCAGAGGATCGAGCAAGTACACGTACAAAACACGAACGTGTCCCGCGAGCCTGCATCCGGTATATAATTTTTCGGACACCGTTCGGCCGGGAAAACACCGTGAAAATACTTTTCTCTCCGCTGGATCGGTGCGTTATTCCCCTTTGGGGAGGAACTCGAACACTGGCCATCTCCCAGAGGCGACTCACGGTCGCACAGATTCCCCGAAATATGGTTAAATCTCGAACGATCGATTCCTCGATACTCCGAACGCGATTATAATTATTAATTTTTATACCAAGTTAAAATTTGCACTTTAATTCTTTGTTATACTCTAACACGCACTGTCGAGCATAGTGAAACAGTTTACAAAAGCTATTGTAATCGAATGCGTCCTTCGTTCGAACGGGTATTGAAAATACACGGTAAATACGAGAAAATTAATTTAAAAAACAATTTAACTCGTTGCACTGCAGTTAACTCTGAATTAGAAGATTACAATTAGAACGAAATATCTCTATATATTTCAAATACCGCGTCAGTGAGAATTTGCTATTGCCATCAGCCGGAACCACGGGTCAATGATCGATGGGGAGTATAATATCTGAGAAATTCCAGCGAAGTTTCATCGTAGCCTCAGGTGAACCCCAATGTAAAACAAATTCAAGTAAGATCAGAAATTCCTATCGAGAAGTGCAATCGCTACGAAAAAGGTCGGAGTCAGAGTGTGCTAATTTCTCGTCGATTTCGAGAGAACAGTCACCAGAGATTTATTATCGTTGTTCCAAGGTGTGAGTAAACTCGATGCTGATTAGGAAAGAGTGACAAACGTTCGGATAAATTCTTGACTCGAGTTTAGCGGTAGAAGGACAGGAGACAGTGTGAAAGAAACGAAATCGTTTTTCTCGCGGAGGAGTCTGAACCCGACACGGACGATAAATCCATCCGTTTCAACGGGGCGGTGATTTATTAAGAATACTTTTGGCCGCGTATGTATGAATAAATCTCCGAAAAAACGAGGCGCGGAAAGTGGCCTGAAAGCTTTCCGCTCCGCGGAGAACAAAACGCGAAACGTTGCATAATCAAATCCCTTTGCAGAATGAACGGAATGTATTCGTGTACTCGTCGCGGGGCACGTTGCGATTGTGCCCGTGATACGGGCTCGTGTGGGTGTTCGCGCGTCGACGAAGAACAAGGTATATAGAGTTGGAAAATGGTCGGAACAGCGCAATTAAAACATAACTGCGGGTCGTTTGTCAGACTATGTATGTCAGAGCTGCAGTCGGTCGGGCAGAGGAGGGACTTATTAAAAATTGCCCTCGTCTCGTGCAATTTTCAGAGTACGAAGACCTTGGGGATTCCGAAAGCTCCGGGAACCTCAACTATGCGAGCAATCGAACGACTATAGAACTTCCCCTATATATACTACCCTTAATATTCGGACACTCGCCTATATCGACCTCTTAGATACGAAGAATAGTTTTAAAGAACCTCACTTTGATTCCAACAACTTTAAAACGAGACAAAATATAAGCTCACATAATATATTGGAGGTATTAGAAGCACTTCCGGTTTCGAACGACGAGAAATTTCCGGCTACTCGAATTCAAGACCAGAGTCACGGGAAATACGTGGGTTTTTGTCGTGGAATCGGCGAATTTTTTCGGGCCAGGATCGAACCGGAAGCTCATTAGGAATTCAAGCAACGTCCTGGAGCATTTCCGCGCTCCCACGAACCGCCAACCCTCTCGAGCTCCCTTTTAGAAAAGGGAACTTCTTACGGTACATATGTCTCGAGTCCTTGATTGTGCACGATCGCGTTTAAGCGTACCGTTGCAATTTCCGGGTACGAGTCTCATAAAGTCGTAAATTTTCACCGTGATATTTACGTTCAGTTTCGAGCTTACTCGATCTGACGGAGCTAACGAGCAAAATCTGGAAAGCTAAACTACTTAATATGCAAATAAGTTCTTCGATAAAAACATAAAATATCTAAAAAATCGCGTCTCGATTCGTTATCGATAGGAATAACGGTGTTTCTGCCGTGGATCTTTTCAACCCTATTGACGTTTGGCAAGCATAGTAATTACGCGTTAGCTCGTCGAGCAGACGGAAGGGATTCCAGCAGGAAATCTGAATAAGAAAGATCGAATCCCGCGGTATCCGAGCCTCGTGCTCGCCTCATTTTCCTACTTCTTCCGCCATTGTTATCAGACCGTCTTTCCAATTCTCCTTTCTGCTTCTCCTTCCGCGTTTTCTGCCATTGTTGTCACTTTACGTCGCCCGGCTCTCTCTCTCGGTCGGTTAAACCCTTCTCGGGACTCGAATTCCCTTCGCGCCAGAGACGAGAACCGGAATCTCCAACGAAACTTCGTGAAATCCTCCAGTGTTATTTCGACGGAGTTAAATAGTTTTGGTAACTGTTTTACGGATCAAGGAAGAAGCGACCTGATCCGTAGTTAAGACGCTCTGTTCATTCTTCGATCGGTCAAAATAAACATACCAAACAAGCATCAGACTCTAGCAATATTTTTCCTATCGAATAAAATCAGATTTTGAGAATTAATCTGCCGGATGTCTGACCGTACATCGCTATTTCCACTTGCTCTCTCGTGTTGGACGAATTCTCTGGTGCTTGATTATTTCCCATCGATCGAGGCCACGTTTTAAACATCGTAAGAGGAAAGACGAGACGTCGTTCGTGGTTGTCTCTCCGGAGAGCACCGTTACCCGCCGGGGAACAATTTCCACCGTCGTCGAGAGCTTATTATTATGGGTAAAAGTGTAGCTCTTTAGGCACGGGCATTATTGCGACGCCTATGAATGAAATTTCCATAATATTATGCCGTTGTAAATTCCGAGCGGTGTGAGCGCCCCGGCAACGCGAATTTCATTAACCGGATAAATACGGAGGAAATGCACAACCCGCGTCCCCGCGTTAAGGCTGCAAAGCGACACTGGCCACTTCATGGCAAGTGTATTTGATTGAACATTAGCATGACAAAGGGTTGGCCCTGCGAGCACACACAACCATCCGCCCTAAGAGAATCGCCTCTCTCCTTGACACCGTTTCCCCCACCTCGATCTCTTTCCCCTTCTTACCCAAACTTTGCCTATATATTTTCTCAACTAAATTCCCTACGATTTATTCCTACAAAGTGCAGTCGATTCTTAGATCAGATTCTCCGTTCTAGCGAAAGGAATACCATAAACGAACGATATACAAACATTTACTATAAAATAAATATTAAGCTCGTATTGTCCAATGCATTTATTGTACAATTTAGGTATATTCCGTAATTTTTAGATTAATTTCACAAGCGCCAGGTGCGCTAACGAAGAAACTTTCACAATGGGGCGTCAGCTTGGTTTTTGTTACCGGCGCGGCCGTGTCACGCTTCATAGAATAGCTTGAAAAATACAGGACACGGTTATTCGTTATTAAATTGGGTTGTCCAATTTATTTTTAAGCAATAAATTTTTTGTCGTCGAAAAAATAACGATACCAAAGAACGACAGAGCGAAATAAAATGTACAGTGTCCCAGAAAGACATCGTTAAGACTTCGTTAAATAGTTAAATTGTTAGTTTTATGCCATATTCGATGGCACATGGTGTTCCACCTTGGCATAATTTTCGCGAACGGTTGATTCCAAGCGTGGGCAACGATTTCGGGACAATTCGTAAATGACCCGTGAGGAAAAGTGATTTATCAAGCGAGCAACCGAGCGTGATCTGTCGGCAGTTACCGAGCCACAGGATCGACGAGCTTTACACTCGAGAAAGCTCCTAGCTCTCAGCATGCAAATCCTTCTTACAAATTAATGCAACTTTCTTACGTCGACGTGGAATTAATCGTGCGGCCGGGTGGCATAAATTCGACAAATTCATCGATTCGTGAATTAATTATTCGAGAGATAATCTATCGATCGCTGGACGGAAATAGGAAATAATGAAAACCGACGCGAACACTTAATTATTTACGGTTAATTCCGATATAGACGCGGGTTGCTCCCCAGAATTAAAAGCACAAACTCGAGTCACGTGAATCAATTTTGCATATTAATTGCACACGCATCGGCACGCGCTCCCGTCGTTATCCATCTACGGAACGAACGTTCGAAACTAATTGTAAGGAACTAATTGCTGGCTTTGCTCGGGGCCCCCCGACCCCATTCTCGGTTACCTGACCAGGCAACCCTGAATGTTATTGGCGGTTTGCCACCCTGCAGCGGATGCATCTTGTCGCGGTTTACGCTGCGCGATCTCATCGAGATGTGACCTCGAACTCTTATCCGACCCGTGTCAAAAACAGCCTTTAAACGAATTAAAGTCCCCGGGGGTGAAGAGGGAGACCCAAACTCCTGCGGGGAATCCGTGTCAAGCAAATTATCGAGGCTGTGTACCTGTTGGATCGAACGATATCGGGGAACGTAGGCAGTTTTAGGCTCCTCTGTTTTCACTTATCCGATTTTTATGGAACTTGGCACTCTGACAGAGCATTTTGCAAGGGGTGAAATCTATTCCGGGTGATTTTCGCGGCCAAAAAATAATCGCTGGCGATTGTAAAGTAATAGTTTGCTATTTAGCTATTGATAAATATGTAGACATTTCCAGCAGTTTTCGAGTTTCGAGTCAACTGGCTGGGACTAATGTTACTAATGACTTGGACGGTCGCGTGCTCGTGGCATCAGCACTATTGTGTCCCTAATTCGACGTATTAATCTATCTTTGGCCGTGTAATTGCTCCTGTCACGAAGATTAACGAAGCATCGGGTCCGGTTTTAAAACATCGTCGTTTAATTAAAATTAAATCGTTTATTAATAAGACGATTTCCAAAGTAAAATACGTTCGAGCAAAAATGAACGCTTGGTTTGCTTGGAACAGTCGAAACTTGATGTATGCAGCAGCAGCAAGCGACTCGACAGTGCCGAAACATTCATCCGTTCAAAATACCGCAGCAGGAACGTGTTAATCCGTCTTCTAAGTTCTATGGAAACTATGCAAATCTGAGTACGGGTCTCCTGTGTGCATCTGCTTGCACAATATCCGCAATATTTGTTGAACGTGGACAGGCAATTAATGTTTATCCTCTTCCGCGTGAATTCTCTGATAATGGAGGCCATCTGGATGCTCCCTTGGGCTGCATAAACGCCATTCACGTTCAACCAATCTCGTTGATGCATCACCTCTTTTTTAAAGGGAATTTCTGTTACGTGCACAGGCTAAGCCACATAAAGTGCTACAAGCTATTAAGAACTCGCGAGAAAATTCACTGCCATCGAATATATAATGATCAATTATTTCTGAAAATCCTATTCGACGAGTTCTGTTATGGGAAAAGTACCTGACCAGATAGCAGTCGAGACACCTCGAAATTATAGCGGTTAACCGGTGCCATAATACAATTCCAAACACTTCAACCATACCGGATAAAGTTATTAACGACTGAGCTGACTCTGTGTTTGCAGCATGGGAGCTCGAGCTACTCATTCACGCGTGGGATTATGGTCGCGCGACTGCGTAACCTAGGAAATTACGAATACGCGTGGTCTGGCGTACCGGATACTAGGATACGTCCTAGTCAAAGATAGTTTAAGCTTTAATAAAATTCTAAAGACCTTTTGGATCACGCTGAAATCCACCTGGAGACGGTTATCGGTCCAATTTTCAAACAGCCATAACTCCTATAATAGTGAATATATTTTAATGAAACTTTTTTCTGAAGTAGAGCCCATGGGCACCGACAGAAAAGTATTAGAGAACTTTTCTGTAGGGCGCCAAACAAATTTATTAAAAATGAAAAACGAATTCCTAAGAAAAATCGACAGGGGTAAGGTGCCTCTTTTTCCCGGCGAAAAAAAAATTCTTTCAAATCGTTCTAAAAAAAATATTGTCGTATGCGGGGGTTAATTGCAATCATTTTTGGTGAATAGACATACCCACGAAATCTCACTCACTTTCGAGAAAAAAATTAATTACTGAATATGTCTGACCAGGCGTCGACCTCTTCCCCTGAAATTTTTCGCCGACATTTAAAAGTTTCAAATCGTTCTAAAAAAATTATATTCGATTATGGGGGTCAATTGCAATCATTTTTGGTGAATAGACGTACCCCCGAAATCCTATCCAGTTTCGAGAAAAAAATTCGAGAAGGTGTGAAATTTTCGACAAAATTAAAACATTTCAAATCGTTCTAAAAAAAATATTGTTGGCTACAGGGGTCAATTACAATGATTTTTAGTGAATAGACATACCCCCGAAATCCTATCCATTTCCGAGAAAAAAATTCCGAAAATCTAATATCTGACCAGGCGTTGATACGTTTCACTGAAATTTCATGCGTATCTTTAGAAAATCATAACTCCTGAACGGATTGAAGGATTTTGATTTTAAAAAATGCAAACGACGCGTATTTTAGCGAAGAATAGGTAGAAATTCTAACAATATCGAGAAAGTTGTTCCTTGACACCGTAACGAGGAAATATTTGCTTTTGATCGTCGCGCAGGAAACAAAATGGAAGTTCTCGAGCGAACGAATTGCCTCCGCTACTGTTACTAATGACGCGGTTTTCGAAACGCGCGCGATTGCGGCGAGAGGAAGTCTCGAGCTTTCTGAACTCGCCGAGATAATCCGTCCTCCGCGGGCCCCGATCGGAGAATTACGCAAATTGCAAAACTCGACAGCTGCACCCGGAATTTCCGTTGAGCGTAAATACGTCGTTTGATGAATATTTATGCGAGAAACGCGTGCACAGATTGCGCGAGAACTCATCGCGCAAATTCTTGTTCATTTAAATAATTTATTTTACGCGGAATCGTGCTTCTACAGGACAAAATTACAGGATCCTGGTTAACGATCGTCTATACCTTTTCAAATCAAAAGTGTTTCGAAACTGAGATTTCCCAGAAAATTCAATTTGGGAAACAACGTTTCTCTGGGCGACTTTGGAACCTTCGTGGATAGAATTGTAACGAACCGTTCGACCAGAGGATCCAATTTCGAGCTACGGTATTGTCCTGGAGTTCCTTTCGAAAAAATTCTTATCGCGATCGTCCATCAGGATGAATTCGTCTTGATACGTGCGTATTTTTGTCCAACAATCGCAGGGGTGACCATTCTGCTGTCGCTGACAGTTTTCCTGAACCTCGTTGCAGAAAGCATGCCGACGACCTCGGACGCTGTCCCTTTAATAGGTACTTCTAACAATCACCACGATAATTACGCATCTCGCACTGGCAAGCGTGTGTTACCATTTCTGTTCTATATGTCTGTAAATACATATATTTATATATATATGTACGCGTGTACAGCGTGTCGCAATAATCGTAACAGAACCGAAATCGAGGCGATTCTGCGTGCAAAAACAAATCGAAAATACCAAAGTGTATCTCCTACGACTTTACGTTATCGAGAAAAATAATTAAAGTTTGAGAGATGTTTCTGAAATATTTTCAATTTAATTTGATATGGGGAGTCGACTCGTTCCTGGTTGCGCTACGATCTGCCACGACACTCTGTATACATATACACTATATTTGTGCCTGTCGTTAAGCATCTCCTTCAGGAAGCAACCCCCGAGAATCGCAAGAAGGGAAAGCGTGAAAGAAAAATCATGCGGGACGGTAAGAACCTCGAAGGTCGTTCAGAGTCGCGGGACAATTTCGTTATTATCGCCGGGTCGAGCCCTGTCGAAATCCATTTCCGAAGGACCGGAGAAATGGACGATCTCGAAGGGTGGTTGTCGGCCAGCGAGAAACGATTACACGGCTGTTTCGACCCCAGGAAACGATTTCATTCTTTCCTATAACACGCCATCACGTCTAAACCTGCTTGTCTCGTGATTCCTCGTTCAGATTTTCTATACAAAATTAATTTACTCGTGAAACAATATCTTGGTTCGCGATTTTCGATACGATTCGCCCCCCATAACTCAACGAAACGCCAGGCCTCGACAATTGCCACGCAATGGCAATAAGCAGCGGGTAACACAAATCACTGCCGCGATAATTAACAACGCGCACCCTCGGTGTAATTAGCTTCCATTGTCGTGGGCCTGCGCGCCCTAACCGACGGTCGAAACGAAACACGGCGAGCAATCTTCGGGGCAAAAAGATCCCGGAATCCCCGCGCGAGAGAAAACTCGACAGATATGCGACTCGCGTCGCGGAAATGTCAATACAATTCAGGAAGGCATGGAAACTATTTCTCTTGGCTGCGCGGCCGGCGTTTCATCGGTTGATCAATCACCCTCGAGGAATCCCATCGTCGAACGTTCGCTGTGCTACGCCAGTACGATTTACGTCCATTGTCTTTGCCACGATTGCTAATATTCCTGGTCTCCGGAATAAAAGGACTTGTATCTTTTCGAGAAGAAATATTCCTGATTCGTGCTAGCAACTATCGAGTCGAAACGATTAATCGACGTTCACCCTGGAAGAAAGAGCTCCCCAACGGGTGGACGAAAGCATGTGGAAGTTTTAAGGACCATCGTGGGCGGCCCGGGACCGCTGTTTCGAAAGTTGTAACGCGTTTACGCCCGGAACAACTTTCCCCTCGGTCGCTGGGAATCCTGTTTGCGGCGAAATTTCGAGCTCTTGGCGTCGGCGCGTGCATCGCGAAGCTTTACGCGTAAATTACCGGACTCGAAAACACTTTTCAAGCCCTCAATCCGGTTCCCCGTTAGCTTTTTCGCCCCGCGAGCTAAACTCATCGACCCTCAAGACGATTTCAACCCTTAGTTCACCGTTTTGTGCGTCTTACAAAAGGGCAACGATATTTTGGAAACTATCGTAGAGTATCTTATGAAAAATTAAGCCCAGAAAACGTCAGTTCTCCTTTCAAATTTGATTCATTTCGTATGAAAGCACGAAACAAGCAGGTGATTGATCAGGGATGTGCGCGGTCTATTCTCTTTCGCATCGACATTTTTCTTTCCTTTCTGAACCCTTCTACAAGAATAAACAGGCTTGTGTTACATTAATGTTTAGATTACTACCTGGTTCCCATGATGTAATTACACGAAAAGTGCCAAAAAGCTACCCAAGAAACTGCTAATAACTAAGTCGGTTTAAAAACTGATACAAACCCCTCAATTTTCTTCTCTCAAACTATTCTACCCCAATAGTTGTCGAATTCAAACACCTACTTTGAAATGAATTAAAAAAGCTCCGGTTAAGAATGAAACTTTTCACGATTTAGATTTGATTTTCCCAGTTTCTTGGGCAGCTGTGTCGCTTGGTACTTGAGTACTACCCTTAAACATGCACGGTTCTTTCCACTTTTGGTGTATTGTATTGTAACTCTCGAACGGCAGTGTGTTTAGAGGAGTTCCTTAATTGATTTAATTGTTTTCTGTGTCCCCGTGTCATAATTTAGAGAGTAACTGGTAGCATCGAACACTCCTAGGTATATTGCTGTGTTAATTGCCTGTTGAAAGGTCCTATAGTTTACTCATAGTCTGCCGTTTTCCCCTTGGGGGTTTAGCAAGGGATATTCCATCAGTTTATCGGGAAGCTTGTGCAAACAGTAAGTTCAATTTCACGGACTGATACGCACTACTTCCGCTATAACGTCATCGAACGTTGCTTCGGTTCGTTTTTTTATTACATGGGGGGGGAAAAAATAATATTTCCGACCGAACAGTATCGAGTTAATACGTGTCCAGCCCTCTTTTTCGGGGTTCCAACAAAACTCAAACGTATCGAATGTAATATACCTTTGTACATACGCGTTTCGTATAATAATATCAATTTCGATTTGGAAGAATCAAATACTTATAGAATGAAATTAATTTCCATCGAACCAAACGATACCGGCGCCTTCGACGAGTTTCCATATTGATTTTACATTTATCGGAGGAATCAGTAATGCATATTTGCCAACGAAAATTGATAAACGATGTGAATTTTATTGAAATAAAGAACTGCAGTTTGTACGAATCGATGTTAATCTGAACGACCTTCGTCGTATTTCCCACGAAACGATAGAAAATGCTTAACGTAGAAACGCAATTTATTTACAGCTCCAAAACATCCTACGTACACGATCGTGTAAGCAAAGAAATTATATGTAATTACGTTATAATCATAACTTTTAGCTAAAGCAATAACGTACAAAGCTCCTGCGCTCCTTTCGCGGCGATCTAACAATTTTAGCCGGAACGAAATCGATTCTCGTTATTCCAAATTTAAATATTCGACGCTATTTTCTACAGTCGTCTATAGTTGGTCGATATACTCGTGTCTCGCGTTCCAAGTCGGATTAATAAATAACGTGGATCGTCGCTGGTGAAGAAAAAACGAGAGAAACAATTGAAAAGAGTCTTCGAATCGATCGATCTCCAGCGTCACTTGGTGGTTCGTTTACCGATCGAAGGGCAACCGGTGAAATAAATAAAAGGGAAATAGCGGGGAAGAGAAAAGGGGAGGAGCATTAACCAGAGTTCCAGCCCTGAAAAAAGTTTAATTAAACCGTAAGAGAAGGGCGGAGGAATGGGGATGGATGCACGCGGTGCATCTATGAGGCGAAGTCCTCCTCTTTGGTCGCCAACGAATACGGTATTCGGAGCCCGGAATCGTGTATTCTTTATTTCCACCGAGGAGTCATTTTCCTCCGGTGTCGTGTGGCCAGTTTTTCTTTTCTCCACGTTCTCTCTGCCCTGTCTTTTTTCGCGTACCATCAACCGCAAGGGAAACCAGTAACCGCAATGTGGCCACGCTCCGGGAAATTGCTCCCAGCTGACTGCTACCAACGACATTCCGCGCAGCCAGGACTTGACGGACTTTCTTTTTCAGCTGGTTAAGCGACGTTTAGACACTGTCGATGGGACCAACGTCGGAAAACGATAGGGCAATAGTCTGTTCTATTCGCTACGTTTGTTCCAAGTCGTTATAGAATTGTCAGAACAATGTTTGATCGTGTCCACAGTGGTACACGTTGCCAGCAGCAATTTGTTTCGATAGTCCCAGCGTAATTCCTGTGAATTGTAACGTACAGGGATTAACGATCGTGTCGTTGGATTGGCTCGATCGCTGGCGATGCTCGTACCATCCTGCGTGAAATTAGTTTCTAACGAGCGACCCGGAGTAACCTCGAGGTTTTTCGGGGGTTCCTCCTTGTTGCGGCGTGAACGGGGCTTCCCGCGGAGATGTTAATGGGCATCGAATTCGCGGGTAATTAGGAACCGTGGGTGATTTATTGGATCGTCCTTTCGGCGGAACGAATTATTCTCGTGTCAAGAGAGAGAAGGAGGGCTCCTGTTGAATCCTTTTGCCCCGATGATTACGTTGCCTCGCGAACATTGTCTGGCGGGACTAATTGAAATTTAATGGGAACCATGAGACGCGAGAATTGTTGGTCGTTCCCGTGCAGGCACGCTCGCCAGCAACGAAGTTCCGAATCTCAGAAAAAGAGCAGTCTTAAAAATTTGAATATCTTTCCTAGGTTGTCCCGTTGAACCTTCAATTGAGAATCCTACCTACAGAGATTAGGAAATTATTAGAGTTCCAGTGATTGCTCTTATAGAAGAATAAAGGAATCGGAGAGATTTAAATTGAGACAATAAGTCAATGGGAAAAGGACTTAAGCTCTTGTTTTTCATGGTAAAAATTAAACTACCTAGAGGGTAATGGAGGAGTTTGAGCACAGACGAGGTATACTAGCCACCCATGCTGAAAATTCGAAGGAAAAACAGATTTGAAAGAAAACTCGAAGGCAATAGGTGGACAAATTTTTTGGCGAAAAAAAATTTTTTCAAATCGTTCTAAAAAAATTATTTTCGGCTGTGGGAGTCGATTACAATCATTTTTGGTTGATAGACATACCCTCGAATTCCTACGCGTTTTCGAGAAAAAAATTCCTTACTGAAAATATAATCTGAAGCCTGAAAAGGTTCGCTGAAACTTCATGCGTATCTTTAAAATGCTATAACTCTTAAACGGATTGACGGATTTTAATGTTTAAAAATGCAAACGACGCGTATTTTAGTGGAGAATATGTAGAAATTTTAAAAATACTGAAAAATTCATTCGTTCACCTCGTAAAATTAAAAAAACCCCATAAAAATGGTTCAATTTTCAAACAGCCATAACTCCTATAATAGTGAATATATTTTAATGAAACTTTTTTCTGAAGTAGAGCCCATGGGTACCTACAGAAAAGTATTAGAGAACTTTTCTGTAGGGCGTCAAACAAA